CTCTGCCGTCGAGGCGCGAACTTTGGGCACTCATCTCTGCCGTCGAGGCGCGAACTAACTTCTGTCGGTTGGGGTCTCGCTTTTTATTGACGCAGTCAAAACTGGGGTGGGTCTGTCGGCGCCAGGGTTCTTCGATAATTCTAAATACGTATCCACCCTTCTTATTTCTGGTTAGGATTTTTCATTCTTTTCCATTTTCGGTAACTCACTCACTCTCACCCCCACCCCTTATTGTGCCTCTGAGGGGCGTGTCACTGCTTCCCGCTTCTTCGTATCAGCTTCTCACACTCACACTTCTGACAGGGCGTCGACCGATTCTCCTCGTGCGTCACGTGACCGCTTTCTCGGCCAATGATCGGGTATCTTTCCTCCTCCTTCGTGTCATATGATCTTATTTAGCCAATGACGTCTTTAGTCGGGCGTGGACAATCCGTGGCTTTGTTTTGGGAAAGAAATACCTTGCTTAAAAAAACAAAAATATTAATTTAAATCGCCCTTATCATGAGCGACTGAGATAACACTTTCGGCTTTTTAACACGTGGTATTTGTCAAGCAGTTTATCGCTAATTGATATGATCTAAGAAAGGAATTTCTCCTAGACTCGTTGGCGTTTCTGAACGGAATAAAAAACATTTCAATTTCCTCCGCTCGAAGGTCTGATAATAAAAATCTTTATTATCGCAAAAAATTTTGCCACCTTTGTGTGGGCTTTTTTCTAATTCTGAAGACTGTCTATGTTTTTTTATTAATGGTTTGTCTTCATATCCTTAGATACACTTCCCCACCCACTTAGACCTTTACTATCATTCCAATAACACACTTCCATTTTTCGCGGATCCGTGGAAATCGGTCAGATGCTTGACCAGAACATTTTTCGACACCTGTTATCTGTCAGCCGTGCGTGTGTGTGCTCGCCTATGACCTGTTTTCGTATTATTTTTTCTTTCTTTTTTCTTAGTTTTCTCTTTCTTTCTTCCAGATCGCTTGAATGTAAAGAAAGAATTATTCTTAAAACCCAAAATATTTTTCGGCCTTAAATAATTATTAAATGGTTGATAAACCGTAAAAACCAAATCATATATCTATGAATATTTCTCTCAGCTCGTCAGGTATGCATGGTGTCACAATTGCTTGTGATTTTGTAGTGCCAGTTTGAAGAAAGGCGAGTACGTTCTAAGAAAAGTTGTAAAATAAAAAATTTAAAACATTTTTAAAAAAAAAAGTGGTGATGTTACCTAAAATTAACCAGCCGAACTCGCAAGTGTCTAATAACTTGCAACTAAATAAGAATCCTCTAATATTATTGCAATTTTCCAGGATTCTTATTTTACTGCAAGTTATAATTAATTAGGCACTAGAGAGCTGGGTTGGCTAATTTTACGCAACGTCAACACTTTTTGCGATTTTTATTAATAAAATCATCTTTCTTTATCATCATACTGAGATTTATTACAATTTGGAGAGATTAGTTAAATATTTCTCGCTTATGTTTAATTCTCTAAGGATTTGCTTTATTTAGGCGATAAGGACACCTGGCGCCGGTGCAAGGGTCACGTGCCACCCTACCAATCTGTGATACCGGCGCCCCTCACTGTTACATCTCATTTTTCATCGTGTAGTGTAATAAACGTTTCGGATGTTGTACGCTCCGGCCTTCTTCATATGGTTGGTATGTTGAGCTGAACCCTTTATTTCGCTCGCTGGGGTAGACTGTTCTAGTTCCACATGCCATGTTTTAATGGATGTCAGCAATAAGTTATCTCCTGTTAGTTTCCCTCTTAAGGCAGTGGAGAACTTTCAGAGGGAAATTAACAGGAGATAACTGATAACTAACATCCATTAAAAATGGTACGTGGAACGAAAACAGTCTACCCCAATGAGCGAAACAAAGGTTTCAGTTCGACATTCCAACCATCTGAAGAAGGCATGACCTTACAACGACCGAAACGTTGTAATAAATATGGCGACAAAGATGAGGACAATAGTCAGAATAATGTAAATAATGTACATAATACCTCATCTCAGAAATATAGACAGATAGTGCAATAAGATACAAATTTTATTGTAACCTAATTATGTACAATAATGGATCATATGCAATATAGATAAACAAAAAGAAATATTGAAAATAAATCACGACCACATTAGGATCGTAGTCGTGGTGTTTCTTGGTCAAGTTAGCCTAACATAACACAACCCGCTCCAGAATAGTTTTAATTCAGAATTTCCCTTCTCCTGAACCGTTTTACCCATAACTGGGGGGTTGAAAAAAGAGGATCCATATCAGGTATGAATGTAATGGATCCGACTGGACTTTCATCTCAGCTCTCTGATTCCTCAATCCGAATTGCTATTCATTATTCTTGTGTATATCCTAGAAACTAAATACAATGTATCTATATACAAATTAGAGATATGGCATGTTAGAACATTCTATTTAAATAATTGAACAATGTTTTGCGGCAATTTTAACATCAATTTGTTGAAAACTTTAAGTTGAATAAATTAACACATTCGACATCATAGATAAAAAAAAACAAACAAACAAAAAAACACCCAAAAAAAACATTGCATTTTTATGGTGTGTTTCGAAACTTACCATACGCAAAACACATTCATGTATATGGACGAAAAAATAAAGACACCCCCCGCCCACACCAAAGTGACGTCAAAATCCTAGAAAATTGTTCATGGTTTAATAGTCAGATGCGCTTAGTTTTATTTTTAACGTCAATAAATATAGGTAGGACAATCCAAATGTTGATAAGATAGTGAGTGTTATGAATAATGAAGAGTTGTCTCCCCTTGTTTTGTTACTTTCCTCTTTGAGAAAGCTATTTCTGTTTACTGGAGTTATAAAAGGACATTTTATGCAAACCGTGTATTCTCAGTTGAATAAAGATTCCTTAAAGCCTAGACCTGCGTACTTTTGTCATTATAGTGAAGGGCCCAATTTAGGCTCGCCCTGTCTGGGATATCTGAGGATTGTACGCGCCGGTCCTGCCTGGGTCGATTATATTTACGTCTATATACAAGTACTTGGTTCAGTCAAGGTACATATTGATAATTTATGAGTTTAATAGTGGGTGTTTATATTTGAATCTATAAGTATTTGTTTTGTGTGTATGTTTGTAATTATATATCTTTTTGAGACTATAAGCATATTTTATGCTTCAGGAATAAGTAAATATAGTTCGTTTTTATTTGTGTCAAATGGTTCGTAAATAGGTAATTTTAATTAATTATATTTGAGTGTGACGTCGCCGTTCTGTCCTTAGACGGCCAACTGACTTGGTATTGGTCGCGGCACCAAATGTGACGTTCTAACCCTTTGCTAATTCGGATTGGAATCTGGTTAGATTCGGTATCAGCCTTGTCGTTCCCAGCTGTCGTTTTTTTTTCTTTCTTTTCTTCTTCCCGACAACAAACCCTTACGACTCTTATCTTAACCGAACGCCGTTTGGAATTCATCAACGAGACCTTTGCCAAACAAGCACTGAAAGCTGGTCAATGATCTTCCGCACCCTGTCGCCAATTATCCGTTCCGATAAAATAATTTTTCTATCATGGCCAGCTCTGACACAAAACAGGTGCTCTTCTCAAATGATATCTCCGCAGATAGTTAATGGTTTAATCGTTCCTTCTTTGTACTTTGAGGGTGGTCCAGCGGACATTTTTCTCGGTCAGAGCATGACCTAATTAATTTTTATCTCTTAGCATTCTGCTTTGTAGGCCACTTGACCAACCTGAAATTTTCATTATTGCGATGGGCAGATTGCTATCTTCTTTCGCCGCGTCGTAACATAAATCAACCTAAATCCGGTATCTTACTTTCTTCGCTAATGAAAATAAAATCTTTACCACTTTTCTTTGTTAAAAAAAATAACATCGCTCAGTGTCTTTTCGTGATAGCTTCTTATCACCTAAATTAATTCTCGCCTTTTTTTTCCACGCAACCCTAAATAGTGTCACATGAGTCAATAAGCCTTTACTATTTTAATGGCTTGAGTACGAGTTATTTACTTAGATCAGCGATAGGTAAATCGATCGTTTATATTTGAGCCAAGTTTTTACTTAGTTCGGGGATAAGTAAATATTAAAGATTTATATTTGAGCCTATATGTATTGAATTGACAGGTGACCTCACAGCAGTCGACTTATTCTGATCCTTACCCACATGGCAGATAGAATACGAATTATTCTATTGAAATTCATTTCTTTCTATCATTTTAACCAATGAGCATTACTCAAAATCTTAACCAAAGAACTTTCATAGATTTTGTATACATTTGTGTCGTTTTCACTACAAATCAATACTAAGATATTTTCATTTGTAAAACGCCAAGAACATAAAGGTTCCTTTCGTTGACAAATGAATGCTTGTTTGTTTGCTTGTGTAAAATTGTTAAAGCAAAAGCAGACGGCATAATATGCCATAATTTACAAGCATAATGCAGATAAAATTATGAATATAAGTTGTGTAACATAGGAGTAACAAAATATTTATGGTGTCTGACAATATATATGTATCAATTTTGCACTTTTTTCTCAGTTGATTCTGATGTATCATTGATCTATCTCTATATCTCAGTATGTTCAGATCTATCTATCTATCTATCTATCTATCTATCTCACTATATATATATATATATATATATATATATATATATATATATCAGTGTTCAGATCCATCTATCTATCTATCTCAGTCTCTTCATACTATCTATCTATCTATCTCATTCTGTTCAGATGTATGTATCTATCTATCTATCTATCTATCTCATTCTGTTCAGATCTCTCAATCTATCTATCTATCTCAGTTCACTCATACGAATAATAATGCCCAAATTAAATAAAGTAAATAAAACTTAAGTTATACTTAACACGGCCGAGATCAAAAGCATTTACGCCGTCTTGTAGGTGATGTCCTCCTGCCTTCACCCCCTTCAGCACAAACGAAACGTTTACAACCTCACAATATTCTACTTTTATTTTTATGC